CTAATGTGTGAAACTTCCCAGCAGAGGGCGTTGCAATTCTACGCTTTTTCACCTGCACTGGTACATCATCCTGAGGATCAAACTTGAAGTCATTGGTAGAAACAGTTAAATCCTCATTGATTTCATTTCATGTGTTAATACCTACATACACTGGGGATCATTTTTTTTCTTGATGTTGCAAGACTGAACTTCTAATTCTTCACTCCAGAACTCGGACTTGCTATGCAGCCTACAGTATCACTGATTGCTGTTACAATTCCAGAAATGCCAACACATGTGGAGGAAGTAGCAAAGAAAGATGTTTCCTACATCATGGTTTACCTAAACATGGATCTAAAAAAAAAGTCATGTAAGGTCCCATTAAAGCTGTCTAGCTATTCAGGTAGCTTCAACCCATCTTTTCATGTTGCTTAGCTAGATTTTTAGCTATATGCAATATGAAATGCAATTTATAGCATTTAGTCTTGAAAAGTTACAGCCAGTCTTGAAAAGTTAAATAAAATAGTTTCTTATGAGGGAGGGTAAAAGGAGAGGAAACGTTATGGGGACTTGAAAAGGGGGAGGAGCCCCTCACACAGGAATTTGGTGGAAGCCTTGTTCCCAACAGAGAAGCAAGAATTCAAGCACAATTAATTGCTTAAGGCCTTTCTCCCTTGAGCTGACATGAAAAACTCTCACAGACTTCTGTTTTTCTATACACCAGAAGTCTTCTTACTTGGGGTGGTCCCACAGGGTTCAGTGGCTCACCTCCCAATCCTGCAGGTGTAATGTGGGTATTTGTAGAGTAAGCTCCTGGAACACTGCCCAATTATTGGCGTACACACATGAAGGACGGAGGGCTCATTCATGTTTAACAGCCATACAGCCCTAATTTAACTCACTGACTACTTGACCCACTCCTGTCTCTGTCCAGGTAATGTTGGTGGACAACAGGACTACTGCTGCTACCCATGTGGCTTAAGATTCCCTGCTGGAACCATCAGTGTCAGGAGGTGGACTACTCCCTTCTCTATAGGAACTTGGCTGCAACAGATCAATCTCTTGGATTATGACTAGTAATAATCAGATACATACAGATTTGAGACACATGTGCCAACATCTCAGTGTTAGTAGCAAAAACAATTAGTCTTTCTGTAAGAAACAGTATATTTTAGAATGAAATGGAGATCTCTTTTCAGGGTTAGAAACTCATTCAATTTTATGTCTTACAGAGCTTACACTGAGTTCAATATTGTATAACCGTATTGATTCAACTGTGAACCTAGAAATTTTATAGCCACTTTTGAAGGGGCAGAGTCTTTACTCTGGAAACTGTTATTGGGCACGTTAAAGCTGTAATGGCATGCTTCTTTTAAAAAAGAAAAGATAGCCGGGTGTGGTACCACACGCCTTTACTCCCAGCACTCAGGAGGCAGGTGGATCTCTGTGAGTTCAAGGCCCGCCTGATCCACATAGTTCCAGGACAGCTGGGGCTACAGGAAGACCCTGTCTCAAAAAGACAAAAAACAATACAAATAAATAATAATAATAATAATATTTTAAAAAATGAAACAGCATATCCTGAAGTGGAGGTCTTACTTAAAGAGTGAAAACTCATTCAATTGTATATCTTACAGGGTTTATACTGAGTTCAATATTTTAAAAGTAAAAAACATAATTCTTCAACGCATAAAAAATTGCTCCTTTAATTATTAAGGAAGACGTGAAAAACATTACCATTGAAATCTACCTGATGACTTTATATCCATCCTCAGATGCCAAGGAGCTCAGAAAGTAACCAACTGTGACTAGTAATAATCAGATATATAGATATTAGAAACGCATGTGCAAACATCTTAGTGTCAATTGCATTAAAAATGAATTTTTCTGTATGAAACTGTGTATTTTAATAATGAAATGGAGATCTTTTATAAAGGTTAAAACTGCATTTAATTTTATGTCTTATAGTGTTTATACTGAGTACAATATTATATAACTGTATTAATCCAACAGAAAACCTAAAAATTTACAGCCAGTCTTGAAACAGATGCATCTTAGCTCTGGAAATTGTTATTGAATATGTCAATGCTGTTGTCATGAAATGCTTCTTCTATGGTTATTAAATAATTTTTTAAAAAGCGAGAGAGAGAAAAATAAAATAAAACTAAACAACCCAATAGGACGGACAGTCAGCTGTTGAGTCCTTTCTGCAGAAAAAAAAAAAGAAAAAGAAAAAAACGTGTAGCCCAAGCCTGCCTGAAACTCCAGATCGTCATGCCTCTGCCTCTTCAGCATATCCTACCGGAATGCCCCACCACTACTGGGGAAAATTTTAGTCACAAGATAAATACTTGAAGCTGCCGCAATGGTGATATAGCTGATACAGACTGTTACAAAACATTTCTTGGCCAAAGGAGGAGGAATGGGAAGTGCCTCAAACGCTCCGCCCTGCCCTGCCTGTGCTCCGCCTCTTTCCAGATCCACACTAACAACCTTGGGCACACACACACACACACATACACACACACACACTTGCGGCCTGCTCTCCAATGTCCAGTCCTACTAGGGAACCCCGACCCTAGTGGTCGCCCACACAAACAAACCACCACCGCTCAGCGCCCAGGACTCCGGCCTCCCAGGCCTGGCCCAGCTCCTCCTCTCAGCTACCGCAGTCTCTCACACGCAGGCCCGTGCACGCCTCTCCGACCTCCGCTCTGCTCTTCATTTGCCCTGCCCACCTCCCGACCTCACACCCATCACTGCAGCACGCACGCCGTGCACCTAGGCTGGTCTCCCTCGCTGCTCACTCACTGTGTTCAAGGACTCCAACTGGGAAAGTTTCTAGTGCACATGTGGCAGTTGTCACCTGGCTCTATGGAGAGCACCAGATTGGCCTCCAGGCACTGACAAGGGGTTTAATTGGGGAACCTGATTGGGGGGGGCGGGGTCCCCTGGCCCTCCCATCGCCAGAGCACAAGCCCTCCATCCACTGTCCGCACCTCCTTCACACCGCCTGCCAGCTACCTGGAGCTCCCTTCCCCAGCTGTAGATTTCCTGGCCAGTATTGGGTTCATATTTCCCGCATCTGGACCTAGCTGGACCAGATGTAAAAGAATAGAATCAATTATCGGGGCTTTACGCCCAAAGATAAAGTCTGAGGACAAAATCCAGTTCTCATATTGTTTCCTATGGCATAAGGTTGTTTTCTTAGCTTCTTTTCCTGTTGCTGTAATAATAACAAACACCGAGCGGAGGTAAACAAACAACAACAACCAAAAAATACATTTATAAAAGCTGTCTTGCAGCGGTCACTCCTGGTCCAAGCGGTTGCAGGTTTGCAGGTGCAGGACGAGAACACAAGGCAGCGCTGAGGGTCGGGGCGGCTGGGACGTGAGTTTGATGGAGGAGGATGGAGTGTGGCGGGCACAGGACTGTCCAGGAAAGATGTGGGTCCAGCTATGAGGATCCCGCTGTAGAGCGAGGTGTGGAGAAGGGCTGGGTAGGAGCGCCTGGGAAGCAGGGTGTGGGTTGGGAGGGGCAGGTGCTAGCGCAGAGAAGACAGGATGGGGAGCCGCGCGGGGTGCGTGAGATGAGAGAAGTCAGCGATTTTATCAGTGTTGTTATAGGACTTGTTTGAGGTGATGTCTACGGATTTGTGGTTTGGGGATGGAAAAATGTGTAGCCCAGGCTCCTGACCTCCTGCCTCTGCCTTTTCAGTAATGTCCTGCCATCCTGCCCTGCCACTACCCACCTGAGATTAGCTTAGTTGCTGCAGGTGTGTGCATGTCAGAGGTCAATTTTGTGGGGTCCGTTCTCACCTTCTGATCTGTGGGTTCTGGAGATTGAACTCTGTCAGAATTGCATCATTATTTGGCACACACCTTTACCCACTGAGCCAAATTATCCAACCCAACCTATCCTATTATTGATATCATGCCCATCCTTCCCCTGCAGTATAATGTCAGGTCTATTTGGAACACTCAAATGTTAGGTTTTAAATCTCTAATATTTCACAATTTAATAGATGAAATCATACTTACTAATAATAACATTTTGCTCCATAGAATCATATACTCATTTTTCTGTGCCAAATCAAATTCATGCAGACTTTAGCCTAAGCGGATTAAGTCACTCCAGGCAGTTAAAGAAGTAGTTTTGGTTCTACACTATTGTGATTGCTTTGTATGGACTTAAGTCCAAGCTTTCCCATTTACTTATTCTATTATCGTGGGTTTAGCAATGGACATCTGTAAGAAGCTGGGGGGTGGGGAGGGCTGAACACCGTGGCATATGCCTTTAATGTCAACACTACAGAGGCCTTTAGTGTCAAAACTACAGAGGCAGATGGATCGCCTTGAGCTCCAGGATAGCCTGGTCTACATAATGAGTTCCAGGCAAACCAGGGCTACATAATGAGACCCTGACTCCCCCGCCCATCCCTCCCCAAAAAAAGCAGAGTGGGAATACCCAGTGTCAGAGCAAGCAAGGTTAGGATTTGGGTTGGGGTTTGAAAAAGGAAGATGGGAAGAGGGAAAAGAACAAGTCATGTTTTCTGCAATCTCAGAGAACTCAGGAGCAGGCAGGTATGGCAATGAGTATCTGTAAGCAACTGAATCAAGGGAGGGGCTTCTGGGCTGTAAGTGACATGGCACTAAGGCCAAAGTCACTCTTCCCATCTGTATTAGTCAGGGTTCTCTAAAGAAACAGAACCGGTAGAATGAATATATGTATAGAGATTTATCAGCTTAGCTCACAGGATAGAGTCCGAGTAGTCCAACAATGGCTGCACCACACTGGAGAGGTGGAGAATCCATAGCCTCTCAGTCCACAAGGCTGGATGTCTCAGTAGCCCTAATCTGGCGCTGAAGGTCTGACAAATTCCAAAAGATCAACTAGTCTTCAGTCTATAGCAGCAAGACGAACTCACCAGTGAGAGAGAAGGCAAGCAGCAAGAAGGCAGGCGTTCTCCTCTGCCTTGGCCTTTTATTCAGGCTGCCATCAGAAGGTAACACCCACATTTAGGGTGTGTCTTCCAGCTTTAGATGATCCAATCAAGAATATCTCTTTCATTTCAGTTAATCCCAGATCCAATCAAGTTGACACCCAGGATTAGCCATCACACCATCTTCTGATCAAGTCTTCAGCTGGATCATGTTTCTTTTTACCTTCTGACTCCTGAGGTTGTAGAACAGAATTTTCTTATCACAAGGGGACTTGGCCTTGTCCAGGCAAGGGGAGCCCTGCTGTATTCATCAGAGAATAGCATCTGCCACTGACAAGCCATTTGTAAAGGGTTCCTGGGGCTTCACCACGGATTTTCAAATCCTCAGCAGGGGCAATTGAGATGCTACCCCTTTCCTCAAAATCAGAGCATTATAGGGGCATGGGAGGTGGGAGTCAAGATGATTGGGGAGGACTGCATCCTCAATGACCTTTGAGTCTGTGCATTTCTAACTAGCTACCTAATATAAGGACTACAGAAATTGGCCCTTGCTACAAGCTGGCAAGAGTGACTTTGTCTCTAGGCTCAGAATGGAAGTTACTGGAAAGTCCTACCAGCAGTACAGGTGTCACCTAGAGATTTTAGAAATGCAGTGTTCCAGACCAGTGAATACGGCTCTGTGGGCTAACAAGGAATCCAGGTGGGCACATTAATGTTTCACACTCACTAATGTGACACAATCTCTGGCCAATTATATTCTGGTTTTCATGGCTACTTACAAGATGGTGGGTGTTAAACATCAGTGCTTTCCCTCAAGAGTTTGTGTTTTGCATTTATTTGCATACTTGAAGATGTTTGTATATACAGCAGGTTGTATATATAGGAGGCCTGTTCTATAGGTGCCTCAAAGATCAGTGTTTCCCTCTACCAGAGTTAATATTTGAAGCGTTCCCAACAGAGGGCACTGCAATCTCACGCTTTTTCACCTGTACTGGTGCATCCTGAAGCCATTGGTTAAAAACAATTAAATCCACATGATTTCATATGTCAGTACTAGCATTAGCTGGGGATCATTTTTCTTGATGTTATGAGCGAGTAAACAATGCAAGACTAAACTTCTGATCCCTCACTCCAGAACTCAGACTTGCTGTGCAGCCTAGAGTATCACAGGTTGCTATTACAATTGGAGAAATGCCAAGACATGAAGAGAAAGTGGCAAAGAAAGATGTTTCCTACTTCACTATTTTCCTAAGCTTGAGTCTAAAAGTCATTTGAGGAGCTGGTAAAACTGTCTGACTATCCAACCCACCTTTAATATGTTGCTTTGCTGGATTTTTAGTTACATACAATGTAAACTGCAATTTATAATATTTAGGCAGGGGAAAGTTAAATTAAATAATTTGATATGGGTGGCTGAAAAGGCAGGAGAAATTATGGGGACATAGAAAGGGGGAGGATCCCCTCACCCAAGAAATTCATGGAGCCCTTTTCCCAGCTGAGAAGCAAGAATTCCAGCACAATTAACTGCTTAAGGCCTTTCTCCCTTGAGTTGACATGAAAAATTCACACAGACTTCTGTTGCTCTATACACCAGAAGTCTTCTCACATGGTGCAGCTCCACAGGGGTTGCTGGTCCACCTCCCAATCCTGCAGGTGTAATGTGGGTGTTTATAGGGTAAGCATCCTGAACACTGAACTATTATTAGTGTACACACATGAATGGGGAGGGCTCATTCATAACCACTAGCTATGCAGCCCTTAATTTAACTAGCTGGCTACTTGATCCACTCCTGTCTCTGTCCAGGTAATGTTGTTGGACAGCAGGACTGATGCTGCTGTCCATGTAGCCTAAAGTCTCCTGCTGGAACCATCAGTGTCAAGAGGTGGAGTAGTTCTATCTCCACAGGGAGTTGGTTCCAGAGCATTTATCTCTTGGAAACCCATGTCTGACATTGTTACAAATTCTACTGGTCCCAGGATCTCCTGTAATTCAGCTGTTAGGAGATTAATAGTTAAGCCCCTGCCTCAGTCTAGGTAGGCTACTCACTTAGCCAAAGTCAGGGTTTTGGCCACCCCTGTCTTTGGAGTGAATCACAAGAGCTTCCACATCTGGTAATGGGGTATACAGTGCTTACTAGGACTTTGCCTCTTCCCAGCCATAGACTGACCTGCCTGCCTGCAACGTAGTTTCCACTGCTGCTAACTGCTTTTCAATAAGAGTATGGCAAGCCTCAGTCCCCTTTTACAGTAGTGACCAAAATCCTATGGGAACATTTCTCCTCATATGTTGCTACAGTCCACAGCCAAAATTTGTTGTGTTAATGGTTACATCTGATTTAAATGGTTGGGTCTGGTTGATGGTCCTAAGTAATTGTGCTTGGCCAGTGGCCTGTTCAGAGACTACAAATGTTCATTTAGTTGCCTCAGTCAAAAGCTCATAGCTGGGGAGATCATAGGCCCCAATGGGGAGCCTACTGTTGTTCTGCTAAATAGTCATGCTGTCAAATTGCATTCTGAATATTTATGTTTATACCCACAAATTTGCACAGCTCTCAACTCTGGTCATCGGACAGTGATTATAAGAGAGACTGACTCATAACTAGTCTAGGTGCAAGTGTAGATGACACTGAGTGTTCAGCTGTGAATGGGTCATCTTTATCAATCTCCCCCATCAAGTACTTTGGATGGGGAGGAGATAGGGAAATGTTGAGTTCTACACATCAACTCACAGGAGGTGGTTTCCTGCATAAGACCTGCACCAGAACAAACCAGTCATAGTTCCAGCATGGATGGAAGAGGGGATCCTGAGGCACAACCCCTATCACAGGAACTATTGGCTGCTTAAGGGAAGATGATGTGTCTGCTGGTAGGCTGATGATGCCCCAGCAGAAGGCCACACAGCTATGTGAATAGAAACAGTATTAATTGTCTCAGGGAGTTAGTAATAAGATTTTTTTTAAAAGGATGTCATTAAGTTGGAGTTGGGAGGATGAAGGACACTAGGGGTACTTGGAGAGAGAAAGTGGTGGATGGATATGATCAATACATATTGTATTATTATACGACACTTTCGAAGAATGAAGAAAAGATTTTTTTTAAAAAATAGGAGTGAGTAAAAATGATAAAATATTTTTAGAAGGTTGGGGGCTGGAGAGATGGCTCAGCGGTTAAGAACACTGAATGTTCTTGCAGAAGAACCAGGTTCAGATCCCAGCACCGACATGGCAGCTTGAACAACTGTCTGTAAAACTCCAGTTCTAGGGGATCCGACAACCTCTTCTGACCTCTGCGGCGCTGCACGACACGGGTGCACTTCCATACATGCAGGCAATACATGCATACACATAAAATAAAAATAACAAATAAAATATTTTTAAAAAATAGGAATGATAAGGAGGGGGAGGGGGAAAGAGGAGGAGGAGGAGGGGAAGAGGAAGGGAAGAAGGAGGTGGAGGAGGAGGATCAGAGGGAGGAAGACAAGGAAACCCACCGGGTATAACAAGGGTGGGTTCCCATAACCAGGTCTGTATTCCAAGTGAATAGACAATCACAAGAGGAGAAACCGGTGAAGCTTGTGTAGATGCAGGCAGAGGATCTAGGGGAAATGTCTATTTCCTGGAAATTCCCTGTGAGGGAGGTACTGCTCTAAAACCTAAAGAGGATACAACAAACAACAGCAAGGACAAGGGGAAGTACCCCCGAAAGACAAGGACGGCACAGAGCAGACGCAGACGTGGGGCTCTTTGTCAGCCTGTGACCACTGGGAATGAATGACTTTTGGTTTAAGGGGAATTATCAATTGAATTAATTAACTGAAATGAATTTAATTTCCAAAAGGCAACCAAACCAAGTTGATTAGGATGGGTTTGAGAGTTAAATTTCCTTTCTTTCAAAACAAAAGACAGTCTTTCTATCAAGAACTCAGCAAGCATTGACAAACATGATATATTGGACAAGTTTCCGCTCCTTGAAGAACTATTTTCCTGAGTTGGGTGTGAAAAAAACCAAACAGCGAAAAAAAAGGAAAATCAAACAAAACGAAAAAACCCGATAGGACGGGCAGTCAGTTGTCAAGTCATATCTCTAGATACTGTGTTTGAGGAGAAAAAGCGCTATGTAACCCAGTTGGCCCTATGAGGGAAGGGTACAAGAATTAGCAGAAGGCAATGGTCTGGCCACCTTCCGTATGGTCAGGCCCAAAGAGCCATTCGTTCAGTGGCCAGTTCAGGATTGAAGTGTGGGCATTTGTTCATCTCAAAGCTTTATGAGATGGCATGAGATACAAAATTGATTTGAGTCTGTGGAAATATAAGTGTAACCTTTTCCACATTTTATTACATGTGCTCTATGACAATTATTTGTAGTAATACCCTTATACCATATAGGCTGTAGAGATTCTGTTTCTTTTATACAGGGCCAATGCATTTCTGCAACTGTAAAATCCTGAACATTGTGATTCAAAAAAATTAGGGTAAATAAAGCATCTAATAATATATGTCAAAGAGGGTTATCTTCCCCCCTTTCTGTTTAATTAACATTTCTTTCAATATCCTATTGGAACACTCAATAATGGCTTGTCCTTGTGAGTTGTATGGGATTCCAGTGATGTGCTTGATATGCCATTGAGAGAGAAATGACTGAAACCTTTGAGAGATAAATTGGAGCAGTTTCAGCTTTTAAGTGCTTAGGAACTCCCATGATATTCATGACTTCTTTTAAAAGTAAGATTACAGAAGAAGCTTTTTTCATTTGGTAATGCAGTTGCCCATTGAAAAGTGGAAAAAGTATGAATAGTATGATGGACATATGGCAATTTTCCAAACATTTTAACATGAATGACATCCATTTGCCACATTTTATTAACTTGTGACCCCCAGGGGTTTAGACTCCTAGGCAAAGGACCATTGTTAATTGGTTGACAAATGTCATACTGCCTTACAATAGTTTTAGCCAATCTTTGTGGAATGTTGAATTGGTGAACCAACGCTCTCCAATTAGCATGTGTGTCTCAAAGAAAGTTAATTATATCAGTAAGATTATTACAGGGATTTGGTTGATGTTGCAACATTTCATCTATTTTCTGATTAGTATCTGTCATAGGTCCAGGAAGATTAGTATGAGATCTAATATGAGTAATAAATAGTGGAAATTGCCTTAGAAGTAAGAAGGATTGCAATTGAAGAAATAGATTACATAACTCAGTATTAGCAGGATGAAAGTAAACAGTGGATATATGCTGAACAGTAAATGCTGCATATTGAGAGTCTGCAACAATATTTAAAGCTTGTGGACAATCTGTTAATGCCATGATAGTTGCAGCGGATTTGGCTTTTGTACTGATGAATAGGGTGATTTTTGTAATCTATGTATGTATTTACTATTGGTATAACCTGCTAGACCGATTTTATTAGTATCTGTAAAGTTGAGCTATATGAAATAGGCTCTGAAACAATAATTTTATCTAAAATAATATATGTTAATTTAAGAAATTGTATTATTTCCTTCTTTGGATATTGATTAGAGATTCCCAATGAAATTACCCAATGCAATTTCCCATTCTTCATTTACTTTTAACAAATCTTGCTGTTGTTTATTAGTCAGTGAGACCATAATGTCTGTAGGATTCATTCCTACTAAGGCTCTACAGCACAAGCACCCTTTCAAAATAATCCATGCTATTTTTGTCAACAAATGTAGTCAACCTTTTTGTTGTCTTATTAGGTAAAAATAGCCATTCTATGAAAATGTCTGGTTCTTAGAAAAAGAAACCTGATGAAGAATGAGTGGTGGGAACTACAAAGAGAGAAACACTAGAATGAGAATCTAATCGATCCAATTTTGTCTGTTGAATATGTTCTAACCATCTTAATTCTTTCATAGCCTCTACTGTTAAACTTTGAGGACAATTCAAATCAAAATCACCTTGTAGTGTTAGAAACAAATTTTGAAGAGCATAAGTGGGAATGCCTAACATAGGCCACAACCAGTTAATATCGCCCAATAACTTTTGAAAAAAATTAAGTGTTTTTCAATCTCTACGAATATTAATATTTTGTGGTTTTATATAAGTCTTATACTTGGTAGTTCCCAAATATTTAAATGACTCGGAACGCTGATTTTCTCAGGAGCTATTTCTCATCTATAGGAATGGAGATATCAAGTAGTGTGCAATGTCTTTAAATAAAGCTTCCAATACATCTTCAGGAGGCTGTGCAAATAAAATATCATCCATATAATGAATAATCATAGCCTCTGGAAAGGCTTCTCTAACCTTTTGTAATGGTTGAGCTACATAATTTTGACACATAGTAGGACTGTTAAGCATTACCTGAAGTAACACCTTCCATTGATATCTTTTGGCGGGTTCTTGATTATTTAGAGCCGGGATAATAAAGGCAAATCTATCTCTATCTCTTATTTGAAGAGGAATGGTAAAAAAAAAAAGCAGTCTTTTAAATCAATAATAATCAATTTCCATTCCCTAGGAATAACACTCAGTTGAGGTAAGCCAGGTTGTAGGGGGCCCGTGGATTGAATTACTTCATTAATTTTTCTCAAATCTGTAAGCATTCTCCATTTTCCAGATTTTTTTCTTTATCACAAAAACTGGAAAATTCCTTGGGCTGTTAGATGGCTCAATATGACTGGCATCTAGCTGTTCTTTTACTAATGCATGTAAGGCAGTAAGCTTCTCCTTCGCAAGTGGCCACTGTTCAACCCATATGGGCTTATCAGTTTTCCGTGAAAATGGAAAAGCAAAGCTTACCTCAGTGGCCACTATGGTAAATTTGGATATCCCAAACCTTGGCGATTATAGGAAATAATGGATGACAGTTTAGATTCCTTTCTTCCTTATAAATTTTTACCCAAACCTTGTAGAGGACTATACTGCATATTCATCGTATTTTTGCTGTGGGGAAAAAATGGCAGGAATGTGTATAGACGCTCCCCATTAGGACAATGAATCTCTTCTCCATAAATTAAGGCTAATATCAGCAATGAATGGCTTGATAATTCCCTTACTATTATCTGGACCAATGCACTGTAATGACGTAGCACTCTGGTAAATATCAGTTAAGGTACCTATCCCTGAAAAGTGGCTTTTACCTTCTCACAGGGCCAATGTGATGGTCACTCATCATGTGATATAATAGATACATCAGCTCCTGTATCTAATGACCCAGAAAAGGTTCTATCTTTTATTTTTACAGAAATAGTGGGTCTAGTATCTTCTAAATATCTTTGTTGAAAAACCTTTTTCCCAGTACTTCCAAACCCCTGGTATACTGAACCGGGGAAGATTTTCCTTTTACATATGGTAAAATTAATAATTGAGCAATCTGTTCCCCAGCCTCAAATCAAATAGATCAAGTAGCAGTCGCCATAATCTCAATTTCTCCTGTATAATCCTGATCAATTACTCTGGTATGCACAAAAAAATCCTTTAGATGTCAGATTGCGTCTTCCTAATAGTAGACCCACTGTGTCCTTGGATATGGGGCCTATTATCCCTGTACTAATGGTATAGACTTGCATTCCATGGGAATAATGTCATATTTTGTATAGCTGGTATATCTAATGCTGTGTGCACCCCTGGTGGCATGGAGAAGATTTGAGACTCACTTTGGGATGCTGAGTGCAGAAGTCCATTGCTCACTAGGTATGCATGTGTCAATCCCACATTGATTGGCGTGGGGCCTGGGGTCGGGCCCAGACGCACATTTCCCTGAATCAAATTTCCATCCCTATCTTGTGCTGAGTGACATTAATTAGTCCAAAATTTACCTCTTTTACACTTACAGCATAATCCAGGAACTTTATTAATGTTATGATTGCAATTAGGGACCATAGTACCATTTCCCTTTCTACAGTCTTTCCAGATTCGCACAATTGCAACATTTAGGTAAGTTCTGTCTTAATCCTCCTTTGAGGGCAGCAGCTAACACATTTGCCTCATAACTTTCAGACCTAGGTCCATACATGTTTTAATATATTCAGTTAAGGTGGTTCCCTGTGCTCTAAAGAGGTCTTAGAGCCTTTTGACATTCTGAGTTAGCATTTTCAAAAGCCAAGGTCTGTAGCAAAAGATCTTGTACCTCAATTTGCCAGACAGCTTTAGTAACGGCATCTCGTAAATGAGACAAAAAAATCTATATATGGCTCCTTAGCTGACTGCATAATTTCAGTAAATGATGCTGAAGAGTGTCCAGGGTTTGCAACTTTATCCCAAGCCTTAAGACAACAAAGCCTTACTTGGGAAATGGCAGTGTCATTATATTGAAGTTGCCTTTCAACTCCAAGCAATACTCCAGACCCCATTAACTGTTCAGCTGTTGTAGTAACATTGCTTTCTTGGTTTTTTCAAGCCATAGTTACAGCTTCATCTTGCCACCAAGTTCTAAATTGCAAGTGAGTTCCTGCCTCCAAAACTGATTTAGTTAAAGCTTCCCAATCAAATGGTATTAATCCAAACTCTGTAGCAAGACCTTGTAAAATCCCTCTAACACAAGTAGAATGCATCCCATACGTAACCACTGCTTGTTTCAACACTTTGAAGGTCTTAAAAGTTACAGGGGTATGAGAAAATTGGGATGCCCTTTCTGAATAGTCTTCATTTGGAGGAACTCAATTAACAGAAGAAAATTGAAAATATTATTTATGGAACAGTGTGTACAGGCTTTTTGAAATTCTGCATGTTTAAGTCCAGATTTATATTTAGCCAAGTCTTGTTTCTTTAAACTCACATATTTAGGATTACACGGAGAAGGAGAATAATAATCTTCAGTTCCTTCCCTTTTGGTGTTGCCAATTTATTTCCTTCGAAAGTTCCTTATATTGAGATTTGGAGATTTTTAATCTCATCCTCAGAAGATAAGGTTTCTATCTCATTAGATTTCTTAATCATCTTAACCTGAGGACCAGCCTCTAGCTCCTCATATAAAATGTTAAGATCTTCTTCTAATTCTGGAGATGATTCTTCAACAACCTCTAAAGGTGTTTGAGCTAAGGGCCTTGTCAGGAGTAAGGGCCCAGTCGGTGGTAAATCATCAGCGGAAAGAAACCCCTGACCACTTTCTCCTTCCTTAATATCCCTCCTTTGTTTTTTTAAAAAGTTCACTATCAGAGACTCCATCACCTGAGAAAGCTCTCTGAGTCTGTTTGAAGAGGCTGGAAAGCATTAGAAATTAAAGTACAAAGAGACCATACCAGAATAGGAATTAGCTCTCCTTGCTGATGGGCTCTCTTTAAAGATTTCACAACCTGACTCCATACTTTACAGTTTATAACAGTCCGCCCTTCAGGGTGGAACCAATAATAGTGTTTTTTCACCGGTTTAAATAACTGTTTGAAAGTTTTATTTTTTACTTTTATTCCCCCTTTCAAGAGGGCTTTTAACAAATGGATGTATTACTCATCCACTGACCGTGAATTCCCCATTTTTCTTTGCCAACAATATTTCTGAAAGATGCACTTACCTCTGAGCCGACTCTAATTCCCTTTCGGTTCCACAGCCTTTGCTCGAAACCCATTCACCACCTTCCTGGAGCTGCACACTGGGCACCAGCTACAGAGACTCGGATCTGCTGGGGGGGCAGCAAAATGAAAGAAGGCAAAGAACTCAGCTCTCTGGTGGAGAAGAGTAAGTTTAATTCTAAGAGTGGCTTATTATACGTAGTGAACAGGGTCAGCCAAGGAGACAGCATGCAAAATATAAATCAAGCAAAGTACAAAGTAAAATATTGTTTTTCTTTTCTGTTACTAACCAAGCCCTTTCCCAGAGCTCCAGTTTGTGAGAAAGGAAAACACAAACCCAACCACTAATTATTCTTCTATCCCAAAGTAGTGTTCTGCCCTTGACTCTGGAAGGCAATGTTCTGCCAATGTCCAAACATTCTCTTGTTTTCAAGGGACAGCTGGACTCTATCTTGTCCTTTGTTCACCTTCTACAGAACTGAGCTCCTTCAGGAGACAAATAGCCTCCTTAACAAATGGTGCTGGCAAAACTAGATAATCCCAGGTAAAAGAATAAAGTTAGATCTGTTTCTCACCCTGTATGAGGATCAATACTAGAAAGATCAAAGTCCTTAATTCAATAACACCTGAAAACCTCTGATGGAGGAAAAAATAGGGAAAACACTTTAAGCATAGACATTTTCTGACTATAACTCCAATTGCTCAGGAAATTTGCCAACAAGGGGCAAATAGAATTTCATGTAATTAAAAAGCTTCTGCAAGGCAAAAGAAACAATTGGTGTAAACAGCCTACAGAACAGGATAAAATCTTTACTAGCTATACACCTGGAAGAGGATTAATATCGAGAACATACAAAGCACTGAAAAAATTAAATAACAATAAAGCAAACAACTCAATCAATAAATGGCCTAAAATCAACAAACAATTCTAAAACTGTGAAATACAATGAACATATGAAAAAGTGTTTGAGATCACTAGCCATCAGAAAAATGCAAATGAAAAATACTTTGAAATTCCATCTCACTCCAGTCAGAATGACAGTCATCAAGATAAAAACATATCAAATGCTGGTGAGGATGTGCACAAGAGAAAGGAGTGTGTACACTGTTGGTGGGAATTTAAACTAATCCAGTTACTGCAGAAATCAGCTACTGTGGTGATCAGTATGGAGGTTTCTCAAAAAGCAAAATAGATTTCTCATTTGACTCAGTCACTCCATTTCTCAGTATTTACCCAAAAGACTCTAAGTCAACATAACACAGAGACCCTCCCATATCAGTGTCTAGTGTAGCATGTTCTCAGCAGCTAAAGTATGGGACCAACCTAGGTGTTCATCAGCAGAGGAATGGATAAAGAAAATGTGCTTTACATACACAATCTATTTTTTTTCAGCCATAAAGAATGAAGTTCTGTCATTTGCAAGAAAATGGATGCAAATTGAGATCATTATATTAAGTAAATTAAGTCAGTCTCAGAGACAAACATTGCACGCTTTCTCTTATTTGTGGGTTCTATACCTTATAGATACCTGATACCATATATGTACAGATGAAATAAAACTAGGGCTGGGGAGATGACTTAGTGGGTAAAGAGCTTGCTATACAAGTGTGAGGACCTGTGTTTGGGTCTCCAGATCCTACATAATGGACACAGTAGCATGTGCCTGTAATCGCAATAGTCCTCACCTCCACATGTGTGCTATGTCACACATAAGTATGAGAGAGAGAGAGAGAGAGAGAGAGAGAGAGAGAGAGAGAGAGATCAGGTGCCAAACAGTGGAAAGAGAAGTCCATGAAAGAAATCTAAGATTAGGGAATTAAGGGTGTAAGGCCAGGTCAGTAATGAAGCAATGTGGACACCCAGCAGATAACATCTAATGGCCTGTTGGGCTAGTCTAACCTCCCCTAGCCCACAGAAATACATTTTTGTTTCAGAGGGCGTAAGAATGTCCACAGTATCAGGGCAAGCACACTTAGAATTTTGGACAATGTCATAAAAGGGGAGATAGAAAGAAGGAAATGAAATCATTAGGCTTCTTGAGTTAAAACTGAGAAGCAGGGAGGCTAGCAGTGGGATCCATAGGGACCTGCATCACTGGAGGGGCTCTGAGCTATGGAAGTGAAACCTCATTAAGGTGATGATCATTCCTCCCTTCTTCTGATCAAGTCTTTGACTGGATCTTATTTCTTTTCACCTCTGACTCCAGGCTGTTCTCTTAAGGTGGTAGAACACAATTTTCCCCTTATCATAGGGGGTTTGACCTTGTTGTGGCAAGGGAAATTCTTGTTGTCTTCATCAAAGAATAACAGCCATTGATCAAGGCATTTGTATAGAGATTGCCGTGGATGTTTAAATTCTCAGGATGTAAGAGCCTGTAGATAGAGAGGAGAGTGGGAAAATGCTGACTTCTGGACATGTTATGGCTGTCCACACATCAACTCACAGCAGCTATGGTTACCTGCATAAGACCTGCACAAGATCAAACCAGTCATAATTCCAGCATGTATGGGAGAGGGGATCTGAGGCAAAACCCCATCACAGGAACTACTGGTAACTGCTGGCTGCTGAGGAAGAGACAGTCACCATTCTTTGGGATGTGATTGCTTGTGGGTTGATGAAGCTCCTCTGGATGGCCACACACCTATAGGAATAGGAACAGCACTAATTGGATTCAGGGGAGTATTAACACTTTTTTTAAAGGAGGATATGAAGTTGGAGTTAGGAGAATGAAGAGCGCTAGGGGGAGTTGTAGAGAGATAGTGGTGGATGGATATGATCAATATACATTGTATAAATGTATGAAATTTTCAAAATAAAATGTAGGCCAGGTGGCCCATGCCTTTAATACCACTTGAGAGGCAAAGGCAGGCAGATCTCTGTGAGTTAGAGGTCAGCCTGGTCTACACAGCAAAATCCAGGACAGCTAGTCAACTTGTAAAGATATCCTGTTTCAAAAACAACAACAACAAAAAAAAAAAAAAAAATAGGAGAAGGGAGATTAAGAGTGGGGAGGGGGAAGGACTAGAAGAAAGAGGAGGAAACACACCAGGTGTAATAAGGATGAACCCGGGCCTTTATGTTAATAGACAAAGCATAAGAGAAAAAAATCCACGAAGCATGTATAGGATGCGGGCAGAGATCTAGGAGAAATGTCTATTTCCTGTGAGCCCCGTACTGCTGCAGAGCATAAAGTGAATGCAACGAACAAGGAGGAACAGGACAAGCACAAGCCCCTCCGCAGGACAAGGACCTTGCAGACCAGGCATGCAAGTGGGGCTCTTTGTCAGTATGACCACTGGGAATGCGTCTTGATTTAAGCTGAATTCTCATTTAAATTAATTGATTGAAGTGAACTTAATTTCTGAAAAGCAACCAAGTTGATTAGGGTGCGTTTAAGAATTAAATTACATGAAATATAAAATGAGGGCAGTCTTTCAATCAGGAACTCAGCGAGCATCCCCAAACATTACATCTGTACTGGGCAAGTTCCCCTTGGAGTGAAAACTCCTTGAAAAACTGATTTCCTGAGTTGGGTGTGAAAAAAAAAAAACCAGAAAATCAAACATCGAGGGGAGAACAGAAACACCTAATATGAACTGGGGATATTTACGGATTTGCGTTTTGGAGAGAAAAACGTGCAACCCAAAGTGACTTCGAACTCGAGATTCTCCTGCCTCTGCCTCCTCCGCATAGACTTACCAGTGTACACCACCACTACCGCCTAGAAGTAGGCAGCTACGGGACTACTTGAAGCAGTTCAAGGTTGATGCACCTACTACAGAATTTAACAAATCTGGATTGGACAAAGGAGTGAGACCGGGAAACCAACAGTGCTCCTTTGGGTTCCGCTTGCACTCCTCCATTTTCCAAATCCACACTCACGGCTTGGGGCGAGCGCTCAGACAGGCGCACGCACACGCACGCACACGCACGCACTCACACACCCGGCCTGCTCTCAACCTCTCAGTCTCCCCCGCAACCCCACCTCCGAGGGAACTTGCCCCGCCTCTCTTCACCCACTACTTCTCGCACCCATTATTTCGAACCCATTACTTCCGGGACCTGCGCCGCGCGCCCCCTGCCGGTCGCCCACACAAACAAACCACCACCGCACAGCGCCCAGGACTCCGGCCTCCCAGGCCTGGCCCAGCTCCTCCTCTCAGCTACCGCAGTCTCTCACACGCAGGCCCGTGCACGCCTCTCCGGCCTCCGCTCTGCTCTTCATTTGCCCTGCCCACCTCCCGACCTCACACCCATCACTGCAGCACGCACGCCGTGCACCTAGGCTGGTCTCCCTCGCTGCTCACTTACAGTTTGCAAGGACTCCAGCTGGGAAAGTTTCAAGCGCACATGTGGCAGTTGTCACTTGCACAATGGAGACCGTGGGATTGGCCTCCAGTCACTAACAAGGAGTCTAATTCGGGAACCTGATTGGGGTGGGGGGAGGGTCCACTAGACCTTGGATGCTGACACAGACCGCCAAGTGTGTGACTACATGACAGACTGGCGTCAGGGTGGGAAGAGACCCTGATAGGAAAGAGGACACAGCTCGTTCTGTCACTGGCCCTCCCATCGCAAGAGCACAAGCCCTCCATTTGCTGTCCACACTGCCTTCAAGAAGCCCCACCAGCTCAGGGGAGCACGCTCCCCCCACCCCCCACCCCCGCAGCTGTAGGTTTCCTAGCCTGGAGTGGGTTCGGCATTTCCACATCTGGACATGCCCTGGACTTGGCTGCAGCAACATGTTAAAGAATACTAACGATATTTAGATATTTAAGCTCAAAGGTAACATGGAAAATCCAATTCTCATATTGTTTCATATAGCATAAGGTTGCCTTAGTTTATTTTCCTGTTGCTGTGTTAAAAACAAACACCAAGGGGCTGGAGAGATGGCTCAGCGGTTAAGAGCACTGACTGCTCTTGCAGAGGACTCCGGCTCCATTCCCAGCACCCACATGGCGGCTCCTTAACTCCAGTTCCAGGGGATCCGAAGCCCACTTCTGACCTCCCCGGCATTGCACAACACCGGTGCACTCACATGCATGCCGTCAATACACTCATACACATAAAATAATTAATAAAATATTTTTAAAAACACACCGAGAGAAAACAAGGACAAAAGTCTTTGTAGTGGTCACTCCTGGTCTTGGTGGTTGCAGGTCGCTGGTTTGCGAGGTGTAGGACGAACACAAAGCAGCGCTGAGGTCGGGCGGCTGGGACGGGAGTTTGATGGAGGAGGATGGTGTGTGGTGGGCACAGGACTGTCCAGGAAAGGTGTGGGTCCAGCTGTGAGGGTCCCGCTGTAGAGCTGGGTGTGGGGAATAGGCTGGGCAGGAGCGCGTGGGAAGTGGGCCATGGGGGATGTTGAGAGGAGCTGATGAGAGGAGCAATGACAGTAATTTGGTTGGTGTTGTTGGAGAGCACATTTGATGTGAGGAGTGTCTGCGGATTTATGTTTGGGGGAAAACTGTATTCCAGGCCGGACTCAAGATCCTGATCCTCCTGCTTCTGCCTCTTCACTAAATCCTACCGGCCCTGAGCAACCACAATCCTCAAGGATTTGGAGGGAGGAAGGGAGAAGTCCCTAAGCCACTGCCTCTCTTCTCAGCAATATGGCCACACTGTCCTGCTAACTTCAGAGCTCTAAGAATGGCCTGAAAAGAAATGGGTCCTGGGGTGCTTCCCAAAACACGTTGTGTCTTGGATCTCATTAATCAGCACCTTCCCCTTACGTGAAACTGAAATCTGAGGAGTTCTGCACTGGACAGCTTCAGGTGTCAACTTGACCCACCTGGAAAGAAGGAATCTCAACTAGGGAATTTCTACCATCAGACTGGCCTGTTGACATGTCTGTGATTGTTTGTTCTTGATTCTTGATTGTTGAATGATATGGCAGGGCCCAGCTCACTGTGGGTGATGCCACCCTTGGGTCCTGGGTTGTATAAGAAAGTAGGCTGAGCTTGGCCAGGAGAGCAAGCCAATGAGCAGCGTTAAATTAGGAAATATTTAGTTAGGGAATATTCAATTAAATCTACTAAATTAGAGAATATTTAAAAAAAATATTTGAGAGTGTTCCAAACAGACTTGACCCTGAGCAGTGGGGTGGGATTTGGCATAATAACATGGAGGAAGAAGTTGTGTTAGTTACTTTTCTTTTCTCTGTGACCAAATAACTGACAGAAAGAATTTATGGAAAGATTTATCTTGTCTCACCGGTCAAGGAATACAGTCTATCATGGTGGAGGGGAATGTAGCAGAGCACTTGCTCCGGGCTATATGGTGGCAGGAAGGTACCATAACTGATTGTGGCTTGACACCAAGCAGTAAGCAGAGAGAAAGCGAGAGAGAGAGAGAGAGAGAGAGAGAGAGAGAGAGAGACAGAGAGACAGAGAGACAGAGAGACAGAGAGACAGAGACAGAGAGAGAGAGAGAGAGAGCGAGCTGTACAAGAAGCAGGACTTGGCTATGAACCTCACACCCTTGGCATGGGCCAAGATGGCTGACAGGAGATATCCAGAGGGCTGTGAGTCAGCACAAATCGCCTGACATGAAATATCCATGAACCCCAAAAGTAAACAGTGCCGTAATCTGTTTTGTAACTTTTTTTCTTTTTTAGAGTGCCAAACAGAATCACAAACTATTATGTGATTCTGTTAATTCTGTTTAATGTGGCCCTGAGGTCAGAGGCCTGAGTCTCTGCCTTCACCAGCCTGCCTGGGTCTCTGCCTATAGATCTGAGTGCCAACATTCATGCAGTGTGTGTGCCAATCTATGTGTCTACCTGTGACTGCCTGTGTGAGGCCCATGTATTCGGGCATGTGCCTGGGTGCCTGCTGGTGGCTGCATGCCTAGGCGATGGTGCCCTTGGGAATGAAGTATCTTATCTGATGGTAGCTCCTCTCAGTCTCTTCAACAGCCTCCTGTGAACCTTCATCTTTCCTGACATCTGAGCTTGCATAGCACAGAAGGTCCAGCCCTCATGATTCCATCACCTCTCAATGGCCAAGCCTTCCACACTCCAACCAGGCTTTGGAGGACATTGAATCTAAAACATAAGAAAGGGCATTGTACCCATGTGCCCCAGGAATTCAGGTGTGCCCATGACTACTGCTGTCAAATGAATGAGCATGAAAGACATTACTACAGGAACTCTTGAGAACTGGATGAGAATATTCTCTTTCTTTATCAAAGCAGATAACATTGCCAATGTTAAACGCTGTGCCTGTGGATCATGAAATAAAACAGAGGCAAAACGGGACCTCTGTGCTTCAGTGGACACGCTGTAATTTCCTAGATGTTTGAAAGCAAATATCTCACTCTACTCCCTCACTTTCCCCCATTT